CTCACTGCAGCATGATGGTTATGAAAATCTAAAAATGAAAATCCCAAAAACCTGCAGCCCGCATGTGCTGCCACGCTCCATTAACAAATGTAAACATTGTTGATTATTTATTTATTGACAAGATATCCAAACATAGCCTAAAAGAACAACACTTTAGATACGTGAATCTTTCAAGCCCATTCTTAAATTCGGCATGGGTTAAATACCAAAAAACACGCTCATTTTAATTTAATTGTAATTTGTCTAATCGCTATCGCTATGTCAAAATGCCCTACACCGTGGGGCGGTAGCGAGCAGTGTGGGAAAAATGAAGTTCATGCACTGTCAAACTGATCCAATCCAACTTGGATGTATGCTGGATTGTCTATCGATGCAGCACACATTATCTAAAACAATAAAAGTCAACGCCTGTTTCAGAAAATATGCAACTTAAGAGGTATTTATTAAAATAGTAACATTATTGAACGGAGTTTGGCGTGGATTTAACCTCGCCTTGACGCGCAGAATCAGCTGTGTCCGCACGGCCTTGCAGTGAATAAAATAGGTTAAGTTACCGCCAGAAGTAAACAGCTAAAGTCCTTTCGTGTTTACCAAGTAAAGTCCTCTGCTCCATGTTGACAGGTGAGAGTTCACAGGAGCAAAGTCGGTCCCCTCCCAATGGAGCTGCGAGCCTGACTGTGTAACCCCCAAGAAATGGTGAGTGTGTGTGTCAGAGGGAGAGATAAACAGGGAGAGTTGCTGAGGGGGCTCTTTGACTTTGAGCGCATAAGCCCTTATTTCATGGTGCCATTGTTTGTTTTAAGGACGTCAGGCTTAATACAGTTCCAGGCGATTTCCCAACATGTCTGTCCGCCCGAGCACCTCCAAGGCGCTGTGTGCAAGTGTGTGTTTGTGCGCGTGCTCACATGTGTGCGCGAGCCCTTCATTCCTGTCGACTTTAGCCTCACCCCTGTCATAGGCAGTGATTTAAAAAATGTGTATAGGCTACTTTCAAGGTTGTTCGCAAGACATGTTAAATTAACTCAGATTTGCAGAATGTACTGAGTCATTTCCTACTAAAGACATTTTAAATATTTAGCTAATCATGGACTAATCATGATGTTTAGTGTATATCTGTGGTTTTAATGAGTTTGACTGTAGCCATATTCCCATCAGCCTCACTGAGCAGCATTAATTTAATTGCCTATTATTTCCAAATAGGCCAGACGTGGAACTTTATTTAATGTTAGAGCAAACAGGTTCTTTATCACATATTGAGAACAGGACAAAAAGTGTTGCAATACTGTATTTTATCACTCACTTGATGGCTGTGTGAGGTCCACAGGGGAAATGGGCCAGACCGACTAGCTTTGTGTATGCATAAACTATTGCATATTATTGTTATTGATTGTTAGATAAATCGATGTTTGCTTTGTGTATGTTGTCATTTTTGACCGTCACATTGTCATATATTTACTTTAACAATATTCATTAACAATTTATGCAAATAAAACATATTTGAATTTGAGAGTCTGTATGAGCAGTATGTCTCATTGAATGGCTTATAAAACAGGCCACAGTGGATCACAAACCCCTCTCTCTTTCTCTCTCTCACACGCCCCCCCCCACACACACACACACACACACACACACACACACACACACACACACACACACACACACACACACACACACACACACACACACACACACACACACACACACACACACACACACACACACACACACACCTCCATAATCACTATTTGTACCCTAGAAAGAGGGATGTGGGTCATCGGGGGCCACACAGTGCCAGCTATCCCTCTGGCTGCCAACAAATAATAACACTCATAATAACGTAAATGTATCTTATTTGACTAGAAGTCTCATTTATCACGTTCAGGTCATATAGACTGAGGTTCTATCTTGAAAAAAATAAGTGATGTATATTTTCCTCCAGTGTCCTCGTCTGTGATGGTGGAAGCTGAATACATTAAGTGCTGGACAGGACGCCCAACAAGGACTTTAGAGGCAGTAAGAGTCAGACGCCTACTCATTTATTACACTCGGACAAATCCTCCTCTCCTCTCCTCTGTCCTGTCTCCTAAACCTTTTTATTCAGGGACCCGGAGACCTCTCCGGAACAAAACAGCTTTTAGCGCTACCATCTCTCCCTGCTTCTGTTTTTGCAAATAGCTCTTTCCCTCTCTCTCCATCTCTCACTCTCTCGCTCTCTTATTCACGAAAAATAAGAGAGAGAAAGGGAGCTGTTGTAGAAGCACATGAAGTCATTATGTGATTAAGGCCATATCTATCCGCTGCATTGCTTCTTATCCCAAATAGTATTCATTCTTTCAAAGAAAAGTAATCGAACTTAAATTCAGTTAATGTTATTTTGATTATATTTGTTGTTGTTGTTCTCTTTTAATTTGCGCCTAAAGAAGACAAAAACGCTCTAATAGTTCTGATTATACTACTACTAATAATGAAAAGACAAATGACCCGTTGATCTAAATTAAAACCGAGGAAACATAGGCCACTGCCCCTTTGCACTCCGGCATACCATCACCGTGTGCGCACTTATTACCACTTAATTGTGGTCAGAATGTGATAAAACACCTCTGGGAGAAATATTGTTTTCCCTGCCTCCCTCCTCCTGCATTTAGGCCCTACTGTAATAAATATGTCAATAAATTATGCCATCAGTGCTCGATGCCAGCGCGCGTTATCAGTCTTGGGCATCGAGGTGTGTCGCACTCGACCCAACAGAGGGGGGGAAAGTGAGTTTGAAATAAATACAAGGGTTGATCCACCTGGAATGGGCCGCGATAAGAGCAGCCAGTGTTAACCGACACGTTTCCTCTACACCTCATCCGAGTCTTCCTTTTCCAAACACGCGTTTCTTTAATGTCCCGGCCTGTTTTTCCAGCCTGTGTGCGCACCGACGGCACCCAGGGGAGCCGAGGCCAAATCAGCCACAGGCCAGTGAGAGAGCATGGGGCCGGGACACCTGCTTTGGAAAAGACACTCCAGACACTAAACTTTGCTGACTTCGTTGCATTTTGTTCGTCCTAAAAAACACTTGCTTGCAACATGGAAAAGAGACTCGCCTTTTCCCGTTTGGCACCTGACAGAGGCACATATGGAAAATAAGATTTCTAGTTAAGTACTTTAGGATCCTGTTTGTGCAGGAGATAAAAAAAGAAAATTCTGCCTGCAACAAATGAATCTAAAGTGAAACGCTAGGACGAACAGGGGAAAGGAAAAAAAGGCACAATGATCTCATAAAAAAGGGGCATCATCTACTTTTTTACTGGCTTCTACAAATTGATTCTACAATAATAATAGCAACAATTAAAATACTATTTTTAGACGTTCATTAGGAAATAATTCAGAGGTAATTTCTGCATTTGCTTAATACTAGGATAATCCTTTCTCTTATGCAGATACGCATTATGAAGCATATGGATGTGACCTTTACTATCCAGAAATATCGTAAGAGTAAATGAAAAAAATATTATGTAGGCTAATGTAAGATAAAAATTAATTTCAATGGCACAAATGTGTAAATAATATTACTAAACCATGTCTGCACCTGTTGTAGAGGTCGAAGGCTAGAATATTTGCAGTGAGCAAAATCTGCTGTGTAATAATAAATATCCAATTTGTAGGAATGCAGGAGGACGACAACATCATTTCAGAAATCAGAAGCGTCAAACAGGTTTTTCTGTGGAAAGGATCAGATGTCCGCTGAGTTCAGCCTTACAGGTGGGCAAGTTTAAAATGAAAAAAAGTCGAATAATCCATAACAAATCTTAACATGGCGATTTTTAAAAAATAAATTTACAGTTAGCTTTACTTAGTATCCATTTCTGACGAGGGTGCCGTCTTTAAACATGGGGTTATTTCTGTGGCAGGCTGTGTGACAGACGTTTCATGATGATTTTCGGCTCTTAACTGAGCGTTTCACAAAGACACGTTTATCTCTCCTCAGATATTGGCTTCCCTGGATAATCTGAATTCCAAAGCAAAGCTCCGAGCTTCTGTGCCGCTTTGCTTATTCATAAATCAGACTTTGCAGCACCCAATGAGAAAAGTCTGCACATAAAATATCTCTACATGCCACTTTGAACCCCCAATACCCAAGTGACCTAATACTGTTATTCCCTTTGAGAAGCTGCAGTCTAAATGTGTACCAGTTGCAGAACAAAATGTAGGCTACATAATGATATTTGAAATTCCGACTCGTTGCACATCGTTAAATTATAAAATATCACACTGCAAAGTTGGTAATGATTTAAAGTGAATTGGCCTGAAGGAATGTGTTATTAGAGTATCATAAACATAATCCAAACATGCATAAACGCAAGTGTTGAAAAGTCGTTAAAAAACGATTGTAAATGTTGAGTTTTAATGGTTGAAAGATGTCTGAAAATATCTGCACTAAAACGGTGTCTACTTTAACAATTCACTTAATGCTACATTTGTTTAAAATCATGCTTTACATGTATCCTAGTGAATAAATCAGCAACAGGGACACATATCATCTGATTGTTTGCCAAATAAATCAAGTCGTTCCATAATGAATTTTCTTTATCATGGAATTTATTTTATTTTTAGTATTTTATTCAAAATCTCTTGGCATAAAAGCGACCATTTAACAAAAACATTCTTAAATATGATATACATAACATAACAATATGTGGACTATTTGTTTTGTTGCGGGTTATCGTGTAATGTCAAAGTGAGTAACGATTCTTACTCGCGCAGTCGGTGCTTTGGGAAGAAAGAGATTAGTAAGAGTGTATTTCCTTTTTCCCCCTCTCTCTCTCTTTAGTTGCATGCTCAAGTCCCATTCTCTGGTCAAGTTCAGTGCGTTGTTCTCCGGACCGGACGGACGCTTCTTATTGGTAGGTTGCGACAGTTACATCACGCCGCTGGTGACGCGCACGTCTTCCTGTTTCCTTCAGCCGCGTCTTAAAGTGAATCTTAGTGGCGGAGAAGCGCTCAGCATCCAGAGCTCTGCATCCAGTGCGCCTCGGAGACGCACACACGCAGTCTCGCTCTCTCTCTCTCTCTTACACTCTCTCTATGTCTCTCACTCTTGTAGTCACAGCAGAGGATAGAGGGAGAGACCTATACGCGCAAGAGCTCTTTTCATCTTCTATATTTTTCCTATTTTGTTCTTTTCGCTTGCGCAGAGCTCTGACTTTATTCCAGCTCTTTCTTCTCTGAGAAACTGTTATATCCCGTCATCCAGAAAATCCTCGGTGTTCTGCGTTTATTCTCTCTTTTTTTTTTCGCCGTAGTGTTCAGGTTGTCCCCCTCTTCATCTAAAGGGTAAGTAACCTTGTCCTCGGATACCTCCCTCTCTTGTTCTGCCTCGCTTACACACGGTGGGCGGAAAAAACAAAAACAAATTAAACCCCATGAACGGGGAAATGTATAACGGTGATCAACAGCTAATCATATATCTATACGACTTTATTTGTTCTGTTTCGTTCCCCTCGGTGTGTGGTTAGAGTTGCGTGAGCTGCCCGTGTGTTTTAGCGAGGATGATTTGCGGACGGTAGCCCAACCTTTCCCCATGAAAGCCGAGATCAAGTTGATTTGCAACTTCTCCAAGTAAGTTTTAGAACCGAGTGTCTCGATACGTGACTTAAAACACGAGTTGACTTTAGACGGAAGCTGAGATTGAGTCTGTATTTGATGTTTCGTATTGGAAACGGTGACTTTTATATTGTCTTTGTCCTCCTGTGGGGAGAATCGTATTATAAAAACCTCTTCATGCCGTTTTACCGACACAGAATTGTTTTCAAGGCTGTTACGGTGCTTGTCAGTCCTCCTGTTTTGTGAATTTGGTGTTTGTCTTCTGCTGGAACCACTTTTGGAGGATCGTGATAAAACGCTGCCGGTATATTGTTGTAAGTGAAGGCAACTCTCTTAGGTTTTGATATCTTTGTCCAATGACCATCAAATGTGGAAAGAAGCTTCAAAGTCTAACTGTTACCATTATGTATAGTACATTATGTCGTTTGACTTCTAAAAGTTGTATATTGTTTTAAATTAGACCAAGTTTTAAATCTAAATGTAACCTCACTTTTCTTTTTTTTACTTTTTGTGTCTCATCAAAGAATTTTTGAAACAAAAGCCTATAGCCAGGGGTTTTTATTTTAAAGGATGATGTTCAGATGTATAAAGTTGAGATGAACCCCTGGAGCTTGTTGTTCATGTGTGTAGTTCAAAGCCTGAAATTGTTTTTTTTACAAGAGAGAGGGAGTGCGCATGGGCAATGTGAGACAGGTGCTCGGTCGAAAAAGACAGGTGCTGGTGACTATTTCAAGCTCATTGTTAAGATCCTGAGGCGATCAAGTCAAGGTTTCTTTCTTGGATATGTATCACCCCTTTTCTGAACTGCTGGATATGGCTGTCAAGAGTTGAGACACAGCCATTTATCAAAATGATATTGTTTTAGAACACTGATGTCACTTTAATGGGATTGATTTAAGAGGAAACATGTTTCACTATGCCTGTTTATTTTATTAGTTTTATCTTATCAGTTTACAAGATGTGAATTTAAAAAGGGATTTATTTAATAGTGGAAAAACCTGCAATAGGCTACATGCCACTCGTGTGGTGCATCACACTGCACAGCTTCTAACAAAGCCAGCAGCAAAGTTGTGTGTATGAATAGTGTGAATTTGGCTTTAAGGCTTTGTCACAAGAAATACGATTTTGTTATTTAAAAAAACACTTTTGACGTGTAGTGAGGATGAAAAGAAGATAACATTTATATTAGTTGGAGCAACCAAATAATCAGTTAAAGCGAATGTTTTATAATCTCGACGGAGTCCAGTTTTCCTACCAACCATTGAAACCGAGACTAGAATTTAGACACTCGAAATGGTTTTTGTCTGAAGAAATAATAGCAAAATTAATATGTTTAAATATATCTGCCTTTTTCATATAAAATAAAAAATATATATATATAGCTACTTGGCAGATCTTTTTTAAAGTCTGCCTAAATCTGTGTCAAATTTGAGTATATTTGCAACCTTTAAATAGACGTACAAAAAAGCAGTTTTTTTATTACTGAGCCAGTGTGTCTTAAAAAAGGCTTTCTGAAAGAGTGTAAAAGGAAAATGGACATTGTTGCACCACTCTTGCTTTTGATTAAGAAAACATTACCCAAATTTAAAACTTACAAATCTCATAATTAATTGTATTTTTAAAGACAGGCATGCGGGTTAAATTGTCTCAAAATATATCTCTACATTTGGGATTGAATGCAGCTTCGTGGCTATGACTAAGAAACTGCCACCACTGCTTACATAGCAGTATTGATGCAGGCCTGTACTACTGACAAAACAATTTGCTTTCAGAGGGGCATTAGGGTTTTTGTAAGAGCGCTTTAAGTTGCTCCTTGCCGGAGTTGACCCTTGCGACCTGTTCATTTGAGCAGAATTAACTGCCCTTGCCAGATGAAAAGACAAAAAAAAAACACAGAAGTGAGCTCACGCTGGCAACAAAATCAATAGGCCTATTTTGTGTTTCTTTTATGTGTCACTCCCCCCCATCGCCTAAGATATGATGGCCATATTGATTAATGTGAACACAGCACAATGTGTAAACATGGTATTATTTAGTTTAGTTTAAATGACCAAGCAATAATTTTCTTACGTATACTGTGATAGGATTTAGCAAAGGCTATACAACCAATGTGCATTGCCTTCCCTTTTACACAATGCTTTTTTTTATACTCTTTACCCTAATTATTTTATTTTATTTTTGAGTTAATAGCTCTTACAGTATGTTGGTTCACACTGCACAAAAATGGAAATGAGGACAAGTACTTAAGTAATTATCATAATTTTATGCAGCTTTGTGTTCCGTGGGAACTGGTTCAGTGTCATGCGGCGTGTAACAGGGGACAGGATAAAATGTAGGACTTTGCCCTGGAATGTCGAGCCAAGGCCTAATTCTGCCCCCATCTTGCCTGTTCCCTTTACCCCGCTGTCACCAGTCCACACTCCCGAGATGTAATCATGAATGCGCCTGTCCTATTAGAAACAGATTAGGAGGGATAGCCTTCTGGCTTGAGACAGAACTTATGCCTCTACAGTATATCCATATTGTCCTCTGATGCATTTTTCAAGAGGCTGATGTATTTCAATTTTTTTCATTTAAACGTTCCAGCTTTTCTGTGTAATGTAGATTCAGTTTTGAAATGTACGTGTGTTTGTACATTTACTGGCTGTCTGAGTGATTAATTAATATTACGAAAATACTCTTCACTGTGACTCACACAATTTCTGATTTATTTTGCCCACAGGTGCTCGAAGGATTTGATCCTAGAGGACTCTTTTTCGGGATATGGCCCAATAGCAGCAGCCCGTGATGCCGGACCATGACAGCGACTCCCTCCTGAACAGACAGACCAAGCGAAGACGTGTGGACATTGGTGTTAAGAGGACCGTGGGCAGCGCAGCCTCTATCACAACAGCAGCCACAACAACAACCACTGATAACATTGCCCGCGCCAAAGCAGCCATTTTCAGTGCCATGAACTCTCTGAGCTCCCACTCTCACCACGGATCAGACGCTGACTCCATGGAGTGCTCTGTAGTGCAGCCACATGGTGGACCTGGCGTTATGTCAGCCAGTGACAATGAGTCCAAGTCAAATGTACTCCGAAAGCTACTGAAGAGGGCCAACTCATACGAGGACACCATGATGCCCTTCCCTGGCACCACCATTATCTCCCAGCTTCTCAAGAATAACATGACTAAAAATGGAGGAGGACATGAGAGAGGAGAAAGAGGGGACAGGGGTGATAGAGGGGATGTTGGCTTCCCTGGATCAGGGCGCTCCAATGCAAGTTCAGATGCTCCCCAGGAGGATGCCTGCAGTAACTCCTCCCACGATAGCACCCCACAAGAGTGCTTGTCACCCTTCGGCCGTCCTCCTGGCCTGGCCAGCTTTGACATTGAACGTCTAAACGACGAACACCTGCGTGCCAAGCGAGCCCGTGTAGAGAACATTATACGTGGTATGAGCCACTCACCCAGTGTGGTGATACCTGCTTCTTCCCGTCATGAGCGTGACCACGAGATGGATGGAGACCGGGAGATGGATCTAGACTGCCCACCCCCTCAGTCTCAGCAGCAGACCCCCGGCAGCCCACGGGGAGGGGAGGTGTGCAGCAGTAGCAGCCGAGAGAACAAGCGCAAGCAGCGTCTGCCTCAGCAGCAGCAGCAGAGCTTCACCCAGCTGGTGTGCCAGAGGAAGGAGCAGAAGCAGGAGGAGCGGCGGCAACTGAAGCTACAGCTGGAGGACATGCAGAAACAGCTACGCCAGCTGCAGGAGAAGTTCTTTCAGATCTATGACTCAACCGATGACTCAGAACATAACGACCTCCACAATGACCTCCACAATGACATAGGAAACATGTCCGAGGACAGCCCAGGCCGGTCTGATACAGGTGGCGATGACCGGGGTGGAGATGACTTGCGCTCTGACAATGAGATGTCTGACCTGGACCCAGGCCACTTTCTGGACAGGGCACGGGCGTTGCTTCGGCAGCAGGCCATGCTGGCAGACAGAGAGAAGCCAAGAAGAGAGGGGCTCAGCCGGAGCAAAGGACAGGGAGGTCCAGGCTCCTCCATGCATGCTGAAGGTAAACAGCTAGCAGAAACACTGAAGCAGGAACTCAATTCAGCCATGACCCAGGTGGTGGACACAGTGGTCAAGGTGTTTGCCAAGCCTCCACGTCCTACACCCCAGCAGGCCTTCCCCTCACTTTCCATACCTGCTGAAAGATTTCCCACCATTGTCAATGGTGATAACCCCAACTTCCACACCGCCAACCAGAGGCTGCAGTGCTTCGGCGATGTCATCATTCCCAATCCTTTAGATTCCTTCTCCAGCATGCCTGGGATGCCATGTCCCACCATGGATCAAACCGAGGCGATACCTTTAGTCGTGAGGAAGACACCCAGTGACCACCACCATCACCACCAGTCCTCAGCTGTGGGGGCCCACGGTGGACACCACCACCCCGTCCTTCACCCCTCCTCGCTCTCTGCCTCCATGGGCTTCAGCCCCCCATCCTTTAGGCACCCATTCCCTCTGCCTCTCATGGGCTACCCCTTCCAGAGTCCTCTTGGTGGGCCCACAGGTGGCTACCCGAGCAAGGACCGTTCCTCTCCAGACTCCATGGACCTGTCCCGGGAGACCACCAGCCTCAGGACCAAGATGGCGTCGGGCCACCACATGGGGCACCACCACCACCACCACCACCACCATCGTTCTCTTTCACCATCGCACCCTGGCAGCACGGCCGAGGGACTCTCCCTGTCCCTCATCAAGTCCGAGTGCAGTGACCTCCAGGACATGAGTGACATCTCACCCTACTCAGGCAGCAATGTATCCTTTCAACAAAATAATTGTCGAAGAGCTTCTGTGTGAGGGTGTGTGTTTGAGGGGTTGAATGTGTATACCTACTCTGATGTTTTAACTACAAAGTCCACTTCAGGCAGCATATGCTTCTGTAAGTCAGACAAAAATCCAATTTCAGGTGGTAATTCCCTGTAGAGACAGGTGCGATACAATGCATCAAAACCACAAAGAGTTAAAAATCAAATCTTTTTAGCCTGTTTGAAACTAGCCTAAGAAACTGAGAAATTGTTGATGAATCACTTTTCCTCCCACTGCTGTTCTCTTCTCCATTGTACTGCATTGTTATATTTATTTTTATACTCATACCTCTTCCTCACAGCACCATACAGCCTTTTCTTCCATCTTGAATCCTAAGTGCTTTAAAAGCTCTCTTGTCACATATCACTTACTCACGAAGATTAGGTCCCCACGACATTGACTGCCCCAATTCCTTTTTATAAACATGTCCTGAAAGAACAAGAAGGGAGATAGCATCCTGAAACTTGGCACACAATGGTGTTATATAGCCTCCCTTATAGTTTAACCCCAGTGTGCCCCAATCATGCCCTACGGATAAAAAGGCTATCCCCTATGGGAGTCTCAAATTGAGTCCCTCGGGGACTCAGGACTAATAGCTTAAACAGATACATGCAGTGCCTTCTCTGTTTCCCCTATACCTCCTTAGTACCTAAGTATTCAACAACCCCTAACCCTTATGAAAGTTTGATTTGTGTCACACTGCTTTCCTTAGAGAGCTTTGTCTTCGAGCCATTCACATTCATACCTTGCTAAGGAAATGAATCCAACAGCTTACCTGTTGTGTCTTTTTAAGTTCGGTGAATATTTATATAGAACACTTTAGTTGCCTTGTTTTTACTTTTGTGCATACCTGACTGCCTACCCTTTTTCTGAGTGTGTGTACATGTGTGTGTGTATGTGTGTCTTTATGTGTGTGTGCATGTCACAAAAGGTTCGCCTGAGGACTCAGTAAAGATGTATATTTATGATTGCTTGTGTTTTCTCTTGTGTTCCTCTTATCATCCATCGCCGTTGTAAAAAGCCCACAATCATTGTCGTTTCTTTTCCCTTTTTTTCATTTCATAAAGATCTGTCAACAGCCCGGGGGGCCCTTCGGCTGTTGCTTGGCAGCCAAATACTTCTTTTTTTTGTTTTCCCTCCCTGCAAACCCCCCTCCTCCCTGTCTTTTCTTTGAAGCGGACGTTAACAGGTGTTTGCAGCGAGCTGTTTATCTTTCATTACCTCGCCTTGTCTTGTCTTCTGACCCAAGGGTGAACGCTTTCCAGAGATCCATAATCCTTTGCTTCTACGGGCTCCCGATGGAGGGATGGAAAGAGAAAAGAGACTAAGAGAAAGTAAAAAAACAATCAAACAACAACCACATATGCCAGATGCTTTGGCTTTCATTGTAGCATTTATAAATTCAGGGCACTACCAGATGTAGTCCCCTAAATGAAAAAATAGGCAGTACAACATGTCGGCTTGTTTTTTGTTATTATTTTATTTTTATTTTATCACAGGTTCAGGAACAAAGTTTGGAACATACAAGATATAGTTTTGTTCAGTATTTTTTTTTTTAATAGTACGACTTTCTAAATCGTTACACATGAGTTTCTTTCTATTTGTAATATCTTATAGCTGGTTTCATGGATGTGGTTTTTAATTATTTGTATTTCTTAGCTCCTTTTTATCCCGGAGCCTCCTAAGCCAGAGACAGCTTGTCAGACATTTTGCGAGGTGTGTTCAAGTTCACCAGCTCTCGGCAGCGTTGTGGAGCAGATGGCTGCTATCAATTTCCTCATTTGTTCTCAGTCCGACTCCAAATATTCGTGTCCTTACACCTGGAATTGGGAAGTCGAGCAGCTATTTCCCTCTCATGACTTTGGGTTTTGGGGATGTGTTGTGAGAATGATGATGTCTTGTCAGATGTGGCAGGCGAACAGTGGGCCAGCTGGTATGAGTGCACCATCATGACAAAATAATAGCCTTGCACGCCACCCCTAAGTCCAATCACAATTACATTTGCAAGCTGTGAGTGAATTGGAGATGAAAATGCCTCATCAGGAGATATGAAGCTTCTTAATTGTCTTCTGAAGGGAGGTGATATTGTGTTTATGGCTGGAGAGGTAAAACCGTGACGTATTTGTTTTAAAATCATTTTTAATTTCAGTGCTAAGGGGAGAGCGATGCTTATCCTAATTCAAAAAGCAAAAACAAATTAATTTAAGTGTAAGTGCAAAGCTTTCACAGCAAACAAATCCCAACCTTGCCTTACTGAGAAAGAGCTTTCTCTTTCTCTCCCTCTCTCTGTCTGAGGATCCATTGTATCCCCTCCACTTGGAGCAGATGGTGTGGTGTGGAGAGTGAAGTGCTGCTCTTTTGGCCAGGCCTGACAGAGTAACACCAGTCTGCCAGGGTTTCCCCCACAAGACCCTCGCTGCGTATACAACTAACTCTCTCACTCTCACTGAATCAGACAAAGTAGACAGGGTTTTTAAGGAGCCAACCCAGTGTGGTTCAGTATTTGCTGGCTTTGCTGTGTAACCCTGAGGCCAAGGGCAATCCAATCTAGCAGCTGATGCCTTCTTCCCACTCTATAGTTACAGCTACATCTGGACACTTGACTGATTTTAACGATCAAAGCCACCCCTGTAGATCATAAATAATGTCAGGCAATGTATTTTGTCCAGTCGAGTGTAAACAGTCTTCATGAAAACTTGGTGCTGTATCTTCTTTGTAATTTAAAGCCCTGTCTTGCTTCTGCTTGATCAAAAACCTTGTTGAAACAGCCTGAGGTTTTAACATGCAGCCCGCCCCCTTCCCCGTTCCCTTTTCAATGTCTTATCCTCCAGATTGATATTATCAGATGCATTATACGGCCGTTAATTCACCATGGAAATGGCTTGGGCCGTTCGGTGGCGCAGATGTGTTGCAGACCCCCCCATCACTGGCTGAGTCCAAAGCCTCGGAGCCCCTCTTCTCCTTCTCCTCCTCCTCCTCCTCCTCCTTTTGCTCCTCCAAGGGTTTGGCAAAGGCAGCGAGGCTGGGGGGTAGGGGTGGAGCAGAGGGAGGAGGAGGGGGATGTAATTGAAGGTTGGAACCACACTATCCCTCAAGGTGCCCCCACCAGCCCATCTCCATCCTCTCTGGTGTTCAATCCAGGCGATCCATTAAGAAGACAAGGCCTCTGACATGTATTTGAATATGGCCTGTGAGGGTGAGAAGGTTTTCATGTTGCTTGGGCCGCTGTTCGGGACTATCTCCTAGACCTTGTTTTGTCAATGATATGAAGCCAATATCAGACAGTCATATTCAGGCTTGGCATGTGTTGTCGCCAAGCCATTAGGCCTTCTTGCCCGTCACTGGCGTTAACTGCTGTCTTTGTCTGTGATATGCAAATGTCTCCTTTTTCTTCTTCCTTTTTTTGGGTGGAGGTTAGCGCAGGGTGTAGGCAAAGGCGTTTGCTTACTTTGACTGTGAAATTAGCCTCCTTATGTAAAAGCATCGGCTGTAGTGCTGGCCAGCGTTTTATTTACCGTGACGCTCTCACACCTGATACGGACGATGCTAATTGCAAGCAAATGGTTTTGCTTTAGTACACTTTCTTCAGCCCCCCCTCCCCCCTCCAGCAGCCCTGCATCCATGCCTGAAAGGAAATTTGGTTATCCATCATCCAAAGGACAATTTCTTGCCAATCTTGCAACTAATGATTACCATGTACATGTTGTGTTTGTGATAATATCAGTAGCTACATTATCTTGATCTACCATAAAATGTTTCCCTTCAAACACTTGTTAATTTCCTTAATGGCAGCTATTTCTAGATCCAAGAGGGTCTCTCTCCCAATCATCTGAAGAAGGCCAAGCTTATGTTTTTCTACAGCCGCTACCCAAGCTCCAATATGCTCAAGATATTCTTCTCTGATGTCAAGGTAAGGTCAAACACGTTCTCCCTTGTTATCCCTTTTTTAATTAATAATTTGCATCTATCTTCCTTTTAAAATGTTGTAACAATTAGTATCTTTGCCTGTCTATTTTATATACTATAATTTGTACTACCTTCTTGACACAGTGACTTCTTTTGCCACGTGTAGCAAGTATTAAGAGGATTTTTTTCTTTTGTCACATTTCCTACTTTATCATTTGTCAACGCACCTGCTTTAAAAGGGGATTTTACAGCTTCAGTTGCCGTGAACAGAGTATGCCTGTCTGTCTTGAAATGAGGCCCTTTCCCTAACTAAGTTGTGGTTTTATGCAAAAGATGAAAGAAGAGGAAGTTGAATGGGTTTACATGAGGGAGCTGGAGAGCCTATGAGTATTCTAAAGATAAAGCGCGGGATGAGTAATGGAGGGGTGGAGAGGGCAGAGAGGAGGATGGAGCCTAGAGACGGAGGAGTGGTTATCTGAGCAGGTGTAGGGAGTATGTTTTGATGGAGGGAGGGGAGAAGAGAAATTGTCGGTTTAGGGAACATGGCAAGGATGAGCGTTGAAACTGGGAGTTTAATGAAGGAAATTTGGAAAACAAAGCACAATACAGTATGTAAGCTGCACAGAAGAACAAGAGCACAATGGCCGTTGTACTGTAGTATGCGCGACCGAGTTTGTTCCTGTTGTTGTTGTTGTTGTTGTTGTTTGTACTAAATGCGTGCCCCTTTTCTGACCATACGGAGGGGTAAACATTGTGACATATCCAGGCCATCTTATTCAAATCAGAAGATAAAGGTCCTCTTTTTTCCCAGCTGCCCTCTCATGGATGCCGTCGCCACAAACCATGACTCATGGATCACATGGTTTTCTCCCAGCATTTCGTTGGTCTCGTTGTAAAGGAGGGTTGGCATTAGTGGACAGCAGCTGTAAATGTTGATCTGTTACAGAACTAATTTATTAAAGCATACCACTGATTTCACATTGGTGTTGAATTACAACAATTGCTATTTAAGATTTGAACCACTTACTTTTTCACTCACTAATCACTCGCAGGGATGGGGCCCCTTCTTGGGGGCCACATTAGATACTTTAACAAGGTCAAGATAGTTAAGGGGATTATGAGTCCCCTCATATTGTTTTCAGTCAGGGACAATGGACTCAAGTTAGTAGACATGTATGGGAATGAGACTGAATATCTAATTAGATGCAGCCAGCGCGGCCTCTTAGCAAGTGGCTGTCCTCAGACAAAAGTCTTAAAGGCTAATCAGGTCTCGACTAATCAGGTCTTGACTGTCAAGGATCTAATGAACTGGGAAGTGGGTTGACCCAATAACTGGGGGATGCTGTAGCTGTTGTTTCCCTTGATTAAGCTCCTTTTAAGACTATTGTGACTATTGTGACTTTTCTGACTTTTGTTTTTCATGAAATATTTTGACAGACGTCTCAATATGCCCTTGTTGTTGATAGCGGCCTATTGTATCATCCCACTAGCTTTAAGAAGTCTCATTATGATTGCAGTTAATGTTGTGATTAAAGATGAGTAATTATCAGATTAATGCACAGATTAAATAAAGATGTTCAGTCAATTAAAAAAAGTCAGCAAAAGTTAGTGCCTTTAAGGGGATCCAGTGTGTGTGTTGTATATTAATTAGAGGCTGTTTGGACCTTCATCTTATAAAGATTTCCAATTCAGATGCGAACACTGGCTGAAACTCACACACTCTTTGCTTTCTTTATGTATCTGTCTGTGGCTTTTTGAGCGACAAGCTTCAGTATTTGGGCCAGTCATGTGCTGTAGTGTAGAGGAGGTCAGTAGGGTTTTCCCTTTTCTATATGTCATTCCTTCTCTTTTCTTTTTTTTCGCTGATGGTGTGGCATGGTGTGTGTGCCTCGGCGGGGCCGGGGAGAAAGAAAAGCCAGCCGCTGGATTTGAGTCGCCGCAGTAACAAAAGCCCGCTTTCCAGGGCCGCTTTTTGTGTGCAGTCAGCCAATAGGCAGCCGGAGATTATCTCCCACAATTCACCCCTGCGAAAACAGGAAACGTTGGAAAGCCCTGATGACTGTGAAGGGGCTTACGAGAGAGAGAGAGTGAGGGAGAAAGAGAGTGAGAGGGAGGCCCGTACAGGCTTCTCTGTCTTTCTGCTCTCCTCTCCAGTTGTTCTGGATGTAGCTTAGCACTCTGAGGTCATCCGTGTGCTTTCTGCTCCACTGCTGACCACTGTGTCAGAGAAAGTGTTGGCGAGTGACACTTTGACATGTCATCCAAATGTTTCTTAACTAAAAAATGTTATCCTAAATTTAAACACAAAACCGTTTAACCAAATTTCATTCAACATATTTAAAACTGAGCCGATGTGTGTGCAGAAGTTTGGGACCGACGGTTAGCTCCTGATTACTTTTGTCAGGCGACTAATATAGTTTAGTCCAAGGATACTTGAGTGTTTTCCTATTCTGGACTTAAGTATGCGCCTGTGCACGAGCAGAACATATGTGTGTGTGAGTGTGAGTGTGTGCGCCACTTTCTATCTTGTGCTGTTAGCACTAAGCGCTGACCTTTCACAGGCTCTTGAGTGTGAGTGTGAGAAACACGCTCTTGCTGTCTCTCTCTCATCTGCCTCTCAGCCAGCCACACACACACGCACACACACACACACACACACACACACACACACACACACACACACACACACACACACACACACACACACACACACACACACACACACACACTACTACTAACTATATACTACACTACGTAACGTAACTA